ACTCAGCTGTCTATAAGGGACTCCAGGGAAGTGAGCCTGGTATAAAAGAAAAGGTGTGAGCTCACATAGTGACACCAAGTACAGCACCTGCCAGATTGCTCTCCCTTTCAGAATATAATGCAAGTCTCACAAAATGGACAAAGTTTGCAATCACCTTCTAGAACCAATGTTCTGTTCTCCAAGTGTTCTAAAGTAAGGGAGGAAGTGGAAGGGTGAAACAGGATCATTTGCCTCATAAGCTTTGGGGCACAAGATTCAAACTCTTCTGCCACCCTCTTATATGTTCAGCTTGTTTCTAACCTAGAAAGAGTTCATGTGATGGACTCCCTACATCTGGAAGTCAGCATAAGGACACACTCTCTGGAGTAAAGCAGACACCAGTTTGAATCCTAACTACACATTTAATCAGCAACTCTCTGTGCTTTCCTCCCCATCTTTAGGGTTTGTTGTGAGATTTAAGTCATATAGTATATGAATGCTCTAATTATGGGCTAAGGGAATTAGAATTCACATTTATTAAGTGCTTCCTACTATGAGTCCTGGTGTGGCACAACAAATTCCCAAGTACATCTTGAGGCTGCAGCTCAGAAACCCACTCTTATTTATCACCTTCTCAGTGAACGTGACAGACTAAGACCAGTTATGATATGGAGTAATGAATTACAGATAACATTGAAGCCATTACTTTAGCTGCTTCAGTGAAGATCTGTGATTTTCATGCTTCACACTGATGATATCCATGAGATACAAGTGATAATTTTTACTCCTTGTCTAATTAATACTTAAGTAGAATCAGAAGGAAATGAGAAATAGTAGAATCCTTCAACTTGCTTCATATAATGGAAGAAAAAAATCACCTGCTCTTTTTATCCTGTGTATATACCTCAGTCCCCACACTTTAATATAACGAATACACTATTGTTGTTGTTGTTATGTGCTGTCGAGTCGGTTCCGACCCATAGCGACCCTGTACAGGGTTTCCGAGGGTGTAAATCTTTACGGGAGTAGAATGCCTCATCTTTCTCCCGCGGAGCAGCTGGTAGTTTCGAACCGCTGACCTTAAGGTTCGCAGCCCGATTCGTAACCACTACGCTACACTATACTGCATTCTAATTTTAGAAAATTACAAAATTATAGAACTATACACTATCTTTTTAATGTTAAATATTATAAACTTGGTATCAAGTACTAACTAGAGAATTGGTCCAATTTCTTAATTAGAAATATACCAAAAGCCAAATAGTACACAATTGTTAATATGAGCAATCTTGCATATAACTTGCTTTTTAAACAAGTCATCAAGAACTCATTAAGATGAATTCTATTGCATTATTGTGGAAGATAGTAATGCACTTACAAGACATTGCAGAATTCGCCAATGCCAATGCCAATCAATCATAGTCACGCAGAAAAGCAAGGGGAAAAGTAGAAGGATTAAATAGAAGCTAGTTTAACTCACATATTATATAATTTTAAACCCAGGACTAGGAATAGACGGGAGTAAACACAATAACATTAGGAAGATTTTTGGAAGATGTATAAATACTGTCATTGTTTTCATCAGCTCAGAAGGAAATTGTTTTCTCTACCAAACACATGTTTTCACAAATTAAGGAGGGTTGATTTACTAAAAACAATCCTTTTATTTAATAGACAAGACAGTCTGCTTTCCAGCATGATAGTGTAAGGTACTAGTCTGATTTATCTAAAATTCAAATTAGTAGAAAATTAGCATTCAGATAACTCAAATAGAAACAATACTGCAAATTTAGCCAAAAATAATGTAATATTTGATAGTTTGCAAGTTTTTAGTAGCTCATCATCCATGTCAACTATAACTATTTATGGATGTTTAGAACAGCATTTAATTATCTTGATTAATAAAAATGTCCTAAAACCTTTCTTTTTTGTGTCTTAATACCAAGTGTAAACAACTGTCAAAATGTGTCAAATGCATTTTCTCTTCTGATAGAACATGTGCTGTGTTTTAACTATATAATACAGACCTTGTACAGAAACGCTCATGTTTACTATGTTAAAGTGAACAAACCATGGAGTTGCAAATTCAAGATGTCAACAGACAGGCCCTTGATCTCTGGGAGGGAGTGGAACAGAGCCCACCACCTGTCCATTTCCTCATTAGAAAGGAATGAAGGCCTCTGGGCACAGACTCAAGGACTGATGTCCACCAGTGACCTACCTGGCTACCTTGATGATTAACTTGCTCATCACAATGACCAAACAACTCTATAATAGGCATTAAAAATGTTTGAAATAAATTCCAAGATATGAGGCTTATATTCTACCACATAAATCATGAGCTACAATAATTTACCAAAGATACATACAGATAGAAATTCTTATATTCTATGCATCTATATGGAGTTCTGGTGTGGCGCTATAGGATAAGGTGTGGCACAAGGTCGGTTTGAACCACTATGGATCGGAACGGGCTCGACAGCACTTAACAACATCAACATGCTTATACATGCAATAGAATAGTCACAAAATAATATACTCATATACGAAAGTGTTAATAGC